TATAGTTACTTTATTATTGATTAAAAACAAATCAATGACATTGTTTATTATTGTACTTTAGTTGTTTATGACTTAACTACATTTTGCTATTTATTTTTTGTTTATTTAATACATTAATAAAAATATTTATTTGCTATTTAATAACAATAATAATAATAACAGTTATTGTTGTTGTATTTATTATTGAAAAAAATAAATAGCATAAACTTACTGTGGGCGAATTATGATCTAGGCTTCTCTGTGTGATTCACCCTTTATAGAGCTAAAACCAAGTTTCCAAAGTGACTAAACAGGTTAATCCACTGCAAAAGAGCCATTTAATTTAAAGGAAGATAAAAGTCTCCTCGGTCTTTAAAAGCTATATGGCTGTACTGTACGTAAGGAAGGGATTTTCCCCCTATAGTCCTATCACCTTCACAGAAAAACGACACTCATGATTCTCATGGAAACTAATCCTGCATTCGTCCTCAGCTCCTTCCATTCATTCTGTTGGCCAGGCAGCTGGTCACCCCATCTGGAGCTCTGTTACAGTGAGATGGGCAGGGGCGTAGTTTATCACATAATAAGGCAGAATAGTTTCTATACTGTAATAAATGCTATGTCAGTTAGCACTGCATTGTTCATATACTTTATTTATTACCTGGAGATGACTTGACAAACACAAATAAACCATATTGTCGCAATCGAATGTTTAAAGTCTTCATGTTTCCAAACGTTTCTGTTTTTCTGAAAACTGTTTTCATACAGCATAGCTGGACGCTTTTGTCCATATTAGGAATTTCCTCATATGACTTTCTGTGCGAGAGCGCCCTCCGGCTTCGAGTATGAATGAAACATACACTGCATGAGTGTTTAGCACTCCGCGATGTTCATCTCGCCTTATTCTGGGTCTGAATAAAACATCAGATCATGCACAGACTATCCTGTCTCTTTGAATTGAAATCTATATTTATTCACACGGGCTCTTGAAATCCTCTATGTGAACACACTTGCCCGAAAAAGTGCGGGGGACGAATTTACGTGATATTAAAAGTGGAGGGGACACGTCCCCCGCATAATCTACGCCCCTGGAGATGGGAGCCGGATTTTTGCAGCAAATCCAAAGCGTAAAAGCAGTATTTGCATGTGTAGCCATGGGGGAGGGTAGAAGAACACACAATCTCAAACTGCACTGAGTAAAATACTTTCATAGGACCTCCTCAGTGTGTCATTTTAGGAAACATACTGTGTAGTGGGCCTAACAAGATCTGTGGACAAGCACTTTTTTTTGAACAAGTTTTTATGAACAATGCATCTATAAATAAGCAAACTACTAATTTAACCTGTTTTGGGAACTCTTTCTTCACTTTAGAACTTACCACACACAGAAAAGGTGTGACTATAGTCCAACTCCACTTCATCCAGGGATTTGGTCTGTAACCAATCATCTCTTCAATCGCATCATAGAAATTATCAGCGCCTGTGAAGAGGAGGAGTGTTTTCAGGTATCACATTCAAACACATTATGATCCTAGAGTCCACATAGACTTGTACGTAGTTACTGCTTTAAGATGGGAATTACATTAGCAGTTTATTAATTTTTGTTCTAACTGTTGTGCTGTAAGGTTTTTTTTTAACTGTATTGTGCAAACAATGCAGTATGTTATCAGGAAAATCCCCCATATTAAAAACTATCAATGTTTTAACCTGAATCTACCTGCATGCAGGGTTTAAGCCACCTCAGCAGCAGCTCTTTTAACAAGAGAAGTTGGCATGCACTAACATATTCATGACACATTTAAATTTAGAAATCATGGCCATGACAGTAGGGAACAAAGATGTTATGCACGCTTTCAGAACTAGGTTAAATTGTACAGTAGAAACCCTGATTTTGGCACTAAATCATTCTAATTGACCCACACTCTGTTCAAACAAAGAACCACACCTTAGAATATTTCACAATCATTCCTTTCATAACAAGTAATTTGTCAGCAATAAGGGCTTTGTTTCATCTCCCAAGAAAAGAGAACTCATTTGCTGGTTTGCTGGCACTTTTCATCAATAGGTTAAGAAATAGTGTTTAAAAGTCAAAATTAGTAAGTTTTTGTCAGTGAGTTGAGGTGCTTAACCATAATAATTAAATAAAATTCTAAGTAAAAAGTTCTAATATAAACTATAGGTAACAGAGTTGCAGATTTAGCCTTTATTAGCTACCTAGCTAGCTAGTTAAAGGTCAAATTTTGACAAAAAAAATATTTGTTTTATCTTTTCTCTTACAATAGCAGTAACAGGGTTGAAGGGTCCAAATGTGTTTTACAACTTTGGTATAACAATTTTAAATATTATTATTAGTAAAAGTTGGAAAATTATGCAGTAACAGGGTTGCAGATTTAGGCTAAATTACTCTGTTACTCAGCAGGGTGAGCTACTTATGGGTTACATGATGATTTTTATTTTAAAATCATATTTAATAAATAAACATCATGTTTACAATAAATAAAAAGAGACATTTGCTTGATCTTTTTTTTTCTTAGAATAATTTTGGTAACGAACAAAGTCGACATTCAATTTCTGTGAAAAAAAATCTGGGAAAGTGCAAATGAGATCATGCTGTAAATGGATCCAAATGTGTTTTACTTCTTTGGTATAACAATTTTAAATAATATTATTAGTAATAGGCGGGAAAGCATGCAGTAACAGGGTTGCAGATTTAGTCTAAATTACTCTGTTACTCAGCAGGGGCAAGCTAATTAGAGATACGAATTTTGTAGTAAAGGATAAACTCAAGTTTCCAATAAATAAAAGATACATATATTTTTGATCTTTTCTTTTTCCCCAATAATAATTTTGGTAACAGGGTGGAATGGCATAATGAACAAAGTCAACATTCATTTTTTGACCAATGAGGTCATGCTGCAAATGGGCCCAAATGTCTTAGGTATAACAATTTTAAAGATTAGTATTAGTAATAGGCGGAAAAGCATGAAGTAACAGGGTTGCAAATTTATTAATTAGTCTAAATTACTCTGTTACTCAGCAGGGGCGTGCTGGTTAGAGGCCAAATGTTGATTTTGTAGTTAAGGATAAACTCATATTTCTAACAAATAAAATATACATTGTTCTTTGATCTCTTTTTTTTCTTACACCAACTTCAGTAACTGTGTTGAATGGCTAACTTATGCAGTCAACACACTCTGACAAAACACACCTTTTTGTAATTTTCAGTGCAGTCCTTTCAAGATTGGATTTTTTAGGCGTGTTTAATTAGAGATGGAGTTAAACTCTGCAGGACAGTTACTATCTCTGCTCAAGGGTATCACAGTTACAAGGATTATAATTTGATATGACAGGGAAATCATGCAGTAACAGGGTTGAACTCAATTCTAAATCTTACGTTTTTACAGTTGAAAACATAACGGTAACAGGGTTTATTATTTTAAAGTACTGGCACACCAATTCGTACCCTATTCATGAAAAGTGCCTGCTCCAGTACACCATTATGAATAGAAGTCACATTTTCTGTTTACTACTTATACTTACCATAAACCCAGGCTACAGCAATACATTCAAAGAATGCAACCCATAAAAGGCACACGCCACTGGCTGCATAGTAGTCAAAGAGTTGAAACACATACATGCCACCCTGAAAATCAGACACACAAAAAAAATAAATAAATGATTGAAAAAGAGAGTAGGAACGGGTACATGCTATAATTGCAAGGCCAACACAATGGAGGACTGTTATGAGCAACGGTTGGCTAAACACTTAACTAGTTTTCTTTTGGCATTTGTTGAACAATACATTCAGGGGTGACATAAGACATTATGTCACGGAACAAATGGGACACTGTGTGGCTCAAACCACAGAATAGCATTCCCAGTTTATCACTGTTCCAGGGCTTAGCAATCAGGGGCCGAGATTTGAAGGGGCCCAAAAGAATCTTAGATGTGCATTGTCGGACCAGGCAGGATCTCCTAGTATAGCAGTGTGATTCCTCTGTGGAATTCTCACTGCTCAAAGCAGGTCAGGACATCCATAAAAAGACATAGAACTGGGAGCGATAAGGCACTGCAGGGAGTGGAGGCCTCTTCCTTATGGGAGAGAGCATGGGCAGTAGATTTGGCATGAGTCTGGCGGTCTTGATTACAGGAACTGAGGGTTTGGTTGAGGGCCACATACTATCAAATGACAATGTCACAAAAATCCTAAAAGGAAAACATATGGTGCCTGACCATTCAACTAAGCTGCATTTGATACGGTCTTTATTTAGCCAGGAGAAACCAGCTGGTCCAATTTGTTGGCAAAGTGGTAAAGACCAGAATTAGAATGGATTTTGAAGGGAAATGCTTCATAAAAGAGTATTTGAGTGTCGTACTTACCTCGGTGACCATGGTAAGTCCCAACAGGTAGCTCACAAAACAGACTATAGCTATGAAGATTTCACGCCGATAACCCTTCCTTAGGAAGGATGGATACAGATCCACTAGGGATGTGATCTGCCCTTCCACTTCGACAAACTGGGAAAAGAATGAAACACTGTCAGCACAAACTGGTTTCTTGACTCAAGCTGAAAGGGCAAAGATTTCATATTTTGAGTGGATATTATACAGTACAAAATGACAAAGGAAGAAAGAAGCTCATGGAATACATGGAATGCCATGTTTTATAATAATAAACCTACCACGAGTTTGTGGCTTTTAGTTCATTACTATTAGCTTGAAGCTAGTGCACAACAAATACAATTTTAGGAGATACACATTACAAATGTAATATTTTGTACAATAAAATTGCTGTCTAGAATGAGCATGCCCTTCCCCAATACCACTCACTGTCATCACAGCCCATGTTCCGGTTTCAATAAGAAATAGGTCAGTGAAGAAAATAAAGTTCAGCATCAGTTTGATTGGTTTATAAAGTTGTGACATACTGTAGTGAAATGTATCTATTACTGTAAGTAGTACTGTACATATATCCCCCTTTAATGTTATCCAGCACAGCTGCATGAATATTATTGTAGATACTTAATTTAACAGTTCAAGTTCCACACCCCAGTTTAGTGTACCCCCTGGATGTGGATGGACACTGATTTAGCAGAGTGTTCAATTTCACTGAGACTGAGAAATATGATAGTGCAGGACTGCTGTATGGCCTATTAGCTGCCAACAAAGTTTTTTTTTTCTTCCTTGTTTGTTACCATGTTTTCTTGTGTGGCTTAATTTGCTATACTGATCTGTTGTTGGATTTACAGAGCTTTTTAATTCTTTCAGAAATCTTTAGAAATTAGGGGGAAAAAATAAAATAAGCAAAACAAAATTATAACTATTAGGTGGTTATATATATATATATATTTTTTTTTTTTCCATTTAAACTCTGTGAACATATAATTTAATTGTATTTAACCTATTGCACTTTAAATGTTAGCTAAGAAATTTGCATTAGCCGTCAGCCATTTAATTCCAAAAATGTTTTTTTAAAAGGTCCACAGACTGGGTTGAATATCAACATCTGGCTGCATGTCATTACTACTCTGTAAACTAGCAGTACTCAAGCTGTTTAGCATCACAGTTTTTCATTTGATACTCACCTGACTGTCGAGGCCCAACAGCAGAAGCATGATGAAGAAAAGAATTGCCCAAAACGTTGGAAGTGGCATCATACTCACAGCTTTAGGGTAAGCAATGAAGGCCAAGCCAGGACCTATTGGGAAGAGAACAGAGGGGGGTGGGGAAGTGGAGAGAGTACAATTAGCAAGGCTAGCAATTTGCACACTTTGATCTATGCCGGTGTGGCGCGTTTCGTTGTTGGCACAGATCAAAAGGAGACATGAAAGAAAAAAGGAGCGAGTAACTACATGACAATGTGATCAAGCCAGGCAAATTTACTGCCAGTGGTTCATTGCAAGTCCAATGATTGTTTCAGTGCATCTTCTTGCGAAATTAGCATCTTAAGGTTTGCTTCAGCTGTTTCGAAATCTACAAAATGTTTCATGAGCAGTGTGATATTTCCCATGTGTAACACTACAGGTTACATATTCAACACTACAAAGAACAACTTAAAAGGTAACATACAAACACCTCCATTTGCTACTGCAACATAAAATGTAGAATTCAATCTGTTCAACAGAGGTTAAATGCAAAAACAAGCACAATGCATATAATAAAACCATGAAACAATGACCAACATAGCATAATGTCAAAGTACAATAAAATGCACTTTCCACAGAGTCAGGTTGATGCATCTATGACTGACCACCCCAAAATTGACTTCTCTTTTGCAAAAAGCTTATTTTAGCTGCATGACATTTGTAATGTTTAGAAATGTATCCAACCAAATCATCCTTAAAGTCTCCCTGATAAGGATCCTGTGGCTCAATACAACCGAAACTGTGCCGATATGCACGGAAGTTCAAGTAAAGTTTAGGTTTGTGTGTCTTATAAACAAAGTGATAAAGATGTATGTTGTGTGCACCTCGCTTGAGCCAGACATACCAAAGTCTCCACAGAGGAGGGCCAAAGCATGAACAACTGCAGAGATTTGGAAAAACTTGAGATTAAAAAGCAGCCGTTACATCAACTGATCTCTTTCACTATGAGACTTACTGAAGATGAACCTGGACAACAGGTCTTAAAGCAGCGTGAAAGATGAAGAGCCATTTTGAGAAACATCTGACATGAACTAGATGGTCAAAAGTATATAGACACCAGAACATCCCACCTATATGCACTTGTTGAACATTTACTTTCAAAACCATGAGCTTCCACTCTTTTGGGGAAGGTGTTCCAGTAGATATTGGAAAAAGGATTTGCTCCCATTCACACACAATTAATGGGTGACTGAGGTCTGGCTCACAGTCAATGTTTCAGTTCATGCAAAAGATGCTCAGTGGTGTTCAGGTCTGAACTTCTTCCACAACAGTCTCAGTAAACCAATCTGTCTTTAAGTCTGCATGGTTGTATATTTCATTGTAGGCACCTGCTTGTAAGCAAAGGGTGTAGCTGAAATAGCCAAGCACATTAAATAGAAGAAGGTGTCAACATACTTTTGGCCATGTAGTGTGTCCAGGGTAGAAAAAGGAACCAATAGGAACTGACTTGGCGACCTTAGTCAAATTGCATAGAGTTCTCGAGGACTTAAACCCAAACTCTCCATAAGCATGTTGTAAATTGCCTCTATCCTGAACTTGGCACAAGATGCTTCTTGATTAGGGTCACCAGTGGAAACTGTCTTGAACAGCAGGCAATGCTGTTTCACACAACAGTTGATTCTTCACCATTAGTGGACTAGGCCTTAATGTTCCCAGTGGATCCAAGAACACGCTCTCCGCACAGTTCTACAGTTGACTCCAAGCAAATTCCGCTTCCCACCGAGAGACCTTCTACATTTCGCTAATTCATTTTGGTTTTTATCTGATGAATAACGAAGAAGAATCCAAATTTTAGGCCTTCTTTTTAGTCCTAGGACCTGGAACTACTTTTATTGGCTCCGAATTGTTTACAGTCGTCGATTTTTCCCGCCGTTTTCACTACAGGGTTGACCAAACTTTTTCGTGATGTTATTTGCAGCAGCAGTGCCCACCATCACTGCTACTTGACCCTCGTACCTGACTCTGCCACATCGGCTATGTCCACCCCTTGCTCTTGTGCCATGAAGCCCAGGACGGAAAATATTGCGAAGCCAGACACAAAACTTGTAGCGCTGTTCAGGCCTCCCAGCAGCAAACAGTCCCTATGTCACACATATGTCATGGAGTTTGTTAATTAACACAAAGGAGCCCTACGAGTGAAATGTATCCATTACTGTAAGTAGTACTGTACATATATCCCCCTTTAATGTTATCCAGCACAGCTGCATGAATATTATTGTAGATACTTAATTTAACAGTTCAAGTTCCACACCCCAGTTTAGTGTACCCCCTGGATGTGGATGGACACTGATTTAGCAGAGTGTTCAATTTCACTGAGACTGAGAAATATGATAGTGCAGGACTGCTGTATGGCCTATTAGCTGCCAACAAAGTTTTTTTTTTCTTCCTTGTTTGTTACCATGTTTTCTTGTGTGGCTTAATTTGCTATACTGATCTGTTGTTGGATTTACAGAGCTTTTTAATTCTTTCAGAAATCTTTAGAAATTAGGGGGAAAAAATAAAATAAGCAAAACAAAATTATAACTATTAGGTGGTTATATATATATATATTTTATTTTTTTTTTCCATTTAAACTCTGTGAACATATAATTTAATTGTATTTAACCTATTGCACTTTAAATGTTAGCTAAGAAATTTGCATTAGCCGTCAGCCATTTAATTCCAAAAATGTTTTTTTAAAAGGTCCACAGACTGGGTTGAATATCAACATCTGGCTGCATGTCATTACTACTCTGTAAACTAGCAGTACTCAAGCTGTTTAGCATCACAGTTTTTCATTTGATACTCACCTGACTGTCGAGGCCCAACAGCAGAAGCATGATGAAGAAAAGAATTGCCCAAAACGTTGGAAGTGGCATCATACTCACAGCTTTAGGGTAAGCAATGAAGGCCAAGCCAGGACCTATTGGGAAGAGAACAGAGGGGGGTGGGGAAGTGGAGAGAGTACAATTAGCAAGGCTAGCAATTTGCACACTTTGATCTATGCCGGTGTGGCGCGTTTCGTTGTTGGCACAGATCAAAAGGAGACATGAAAGAAAAAAGGAGCGAGTAACTACATGACAATGTGATCAAGCCAGGCAAATTTACTGCCAGTGGTTCATTGCAAGTCCAATGATTGTTTCAGTGCATCTTCTTGCGAAATTAGCATCTTAAGGTTTGCTTCAGCTGTTTCGAAATCTACAAAATGTTTCATGAGCAGTGTGATATTTCCCATGTGTAACACTACAGGTTACATATTCAACACTACAAAGAACAACTTAAAAGGTAACATACAAACACCTCCATTTGCTACTGCAACATAAAATGTAGAATTCAATCTGTTCAACAGAGGTTAAATGCAAAAACAAGCACAATGCATATAATAAAACCATGAAACAATGACCAACATAGCATAATGTCAAAGTACAATAAAATGCACTTTCCACAGAGTCAGGTTGATGCATCTATGACTGACCACCCCAAAATTGACTTCTCTTTTGCAAAAAGCTTATTTTAGCTGCATGACATTTGTAATGTTTAGAAATGTATCCAACCAAATCATCCTTAAAGTCTCCCTGATAAGGATCCTGTGGCTCAATACAACCGAAACTGTGCCGATATGCACGGAAGTTCAAGTAAAGTTTAGGTTTGTGTGTCTTATAAACAAAGTGATAAAGATGTATGTTGTGTGCACCTCGCTTGAGCCAGACATACCAAAGTCTCCACAGAGGAGGGCCAAAGCATGAACAACTGCAGAGATTTGGAAAAACTTGAGATTAAAAAGCAGCCGTTACATCAACTGATCTCTTTCACTATGAGACTTACTGAAGATGAACCTGGACAACAGGTCTTAAAGCAGCGTGAAAGATGAAGAGCCATTTTGAGAAACATCTGACATGAACTAGATGGTCAAAAGTATATAGACACCAGAACATCCCACCTATATGCACTTGTTGAACATTTACTTTCAAAACCATGAGCTTCCACTCTTTTGGGGAAGGTGTTCCAGTAGATATTGGAAAAAGGATTTGCTCCCATTCACACACAATTAATGGGTGACTGAGGTCTGGCTCACAGTCAATGTTTCAGTTCATGCAAAAGATGCTCAGTGGTGTTCAGGTCTGAACTTCTTCCACAACAGTCTCAGTAAACCAATCTGTCTTTAAGTCTGCATGGTTGTATATTTCATTGTAGGCACCTGCTTGTAAGCAAAGGGTGTAGCTGAAATAGCCAAGCACATTAAATAGAAGAAGGTGTCAACATACTTTTGGCCATGTAGTGTGTCCAGGGTAGAAAAAGGAACCAATAGGAACTGACTTGGCGACCTTAGTCAAATTGCATAGAGTTCTCGAGGACTTAAACCCAAACTCTCCATAAGCATGTTGTAAATTGCCTCTATCCTGAACTTGGCACAAGATGCTTCTTGATTAGGGTCACCAGTGGAAACTGTCTTGAACAGCAGGCAATGCTGTTTCACACAACAGTTGATTCTTCACCATTAGTGGACTAGGCCTTAATGTTCCCAGTGGATCCAAGAACACGCTCTCCGCACAGTTCTACAGTTGACTCCAAGCAAATTCCGCTTCCCACCGAGAGACCTTCTACATTTCGCTAATTCATTTTGGTTTTTATCTGATGAATAACGAAGAAGAATCCAAATTTTAGGCCTTCTTTTTAGTCCTAGGACCTGGAACTACTTTTATTGGCTCCGAATTGTTTACAGTCGTCGATTTTTCCCGCCGTTTTCACTACAGGGTTGACCAAACTTTTTCGTGATGTTATTTGCAGCAGCAGTGCCCACCATCACTGCTACTTGACCCTCGTACCTGACTCTGCCACATCGGCTATGTCCACCCCTTGCTCTTGTGCCATGAAGCCCAGGACGGAAAATATTGCGAAGCCAGACACAAAACTTGTAGCGCTGTTCAGGCCTCCCAGCAGCAAACAGTCCCTATGTCACACATATGTCATGGAGTTTGTTAATTAACACAAAGGAGCCCTACGTTCCCACTTTGCCCGTTCACTGGACTAAGCCCCCCTCCCGCCCCCGGGGCGTCGACACACACCTGTAGCAGTTGTATTTGTACTTGTTGTAGCTTCCCAGTGACGTCATGGCTCCAAGACAGATGGCATAAGAGAAGAAAATCTGTGTCCCTGCATCGATCCACACCTAGACACAAGACGCCAAACCATTTGCTGACTGACAACATGAATTCAGCAAACCCAAATATTTGCATGCGTTCAGCCTCTCGTAGGTCCTCCAGAACTGGATACATCATGAAGGACTAATCTAAATTGTTTCAACAACTACATGTCATGTTTAGATTTGTAGCTTTCTGACTGAGGCCATCATGATCTTTATTTATGTCGACTCTTTTGCATAGTTTGGGTTTCTCTCTGTAAACTGTACATCTGAAGTTTATTCTGGTTTTAAGTTGCAGAGGGTCACTGGTGTACATTATGTTGACAAGTGTAAACAGCACTTTTCCTGCTGAAAAGTCCATCTTAGTTGGCTGATTTATATTGGTTAGTGCTGATTTAGTAGCTAGACAGCTGGTGGACTAGCATAGTCATGTTGTTCACCAGCAAAACCTAGCTTTGGAAGTTGGTCGACCTAGAGTTGGTCTTTCTGTTGCAGCTAGTTGACCAAGATAGTCTTGCTGGTTAAGCTAGTTAAGCTTGATGGAGTCCAGCACCCAAAACACAACATATGCTAGGAACCAACTATGTTGGTCTTTTCAGCAGGGTTGAAAGCCATAGAAACCAAAGTGATGTGGAATCAAGTTTTGGTGGGTAGGTGATATTGTAAAGCCTTTTGATGTAAATAGCTGAGATCTTACCTCTGGGTCTCCAAGGCGAGTCACATTTGGGTACAGATAAAATTTGATGCCCTCGGCTGCCCCAGGAAGAGTGACACCCCGTACAAGCAGGACAATTAACATGACAAATGGGAATGTTGCTGTGACGTACACAACCTAAGCAGAAAAGCCAAGAACACTGAGGTTAAATGTAATGCTATGGTTTTATGAAAACTCACAAACTTGGTTGGTGATTTGACAATTTAGAAATCTAAAGCAGAGCTTTTTCACAGGACTTTAAAAGACTTGTCACACTTTCCAACATTCTGAGATGACACTGTCAAAACCAAGGCTAACATGCAATTTACAGCTTAACTTCACTGACAGATTTATATTGTCTTTAGTGGATATACTTTTTGGCCAGCTGTTTTCCTCCCATCAAGTAATGTTTGGCTTGGCTAGAAATATTATGTTGACCACAATTCCATAAACTACATCAAAACATTAATTACCTGCAAGTAAATTTAAAATTGCATTGTGAATTTAAAATTGCATTACAAATATGTCACATAAAAAAAAAAAAAAAAATAAATAAATAAAAAATTCCTGGCATACTAAAATCCAAACACCAACTTTTTTTTTTTTTTTTTTTTTTTTTAGAACAGCATGAACCAGCTTTTATTGCATAAAGAAGTCTGTCTTAAAGTAGCTATTGCTAGAATTGCTATACAGCAATCTACTGTGACAGTGTCTTGGCAGGAGCCATGATAAGATTCACAAATGCATTCTCAAGGGGAATGTGTGCCCAAGTCAAGAGGTGCTGTCTGCTGATTGACTTTACAGTCTCTATTAGGAAGGAGGTGTGCTATAGTTACTATTGCTGTTAATAACCTGGGAACGGCTGATATGTTTGTTTATGTTGACAATACTGGCTAAGGTAGCATTCAAATTTCCCTAGCTACTAACTGACATTGTAAAAACTATTATTAGTAGTTCTTAAATTAACTGACTGAAGTTGAAAGAATTTGTGTTATGCAACCAGGCTCACCTTCCCAGTGGACTTAACACCTTTCCAGATGCAGAAGAAACAGATGACCCACACAGCGAGCAGACACAGAGCCAGGTCCCATTTAATATGACCCACCTGCTCGATACCGTCTGAGATGCTGAGGACATTTCGCCTGTGGCGGAAAGAATGTTTGCTGGTGAGACACTCTTAAGCTATGACAGATGAGTTCACTACAGATGAATAAGTGTTTATGTACAAATCAGAACAAGAAGCCAGTCATCATAGAGCAGGTGTAGCCAACTCTGCTCCTGGAGGGATACCTTCCTGCAGACTTCAGTTCCAACTCTGCGCCACACCTGCCTGTAATTTCAAGTAACCTTGAACACCTTGATTCAATGGCTCAGCTGTGTTTGATTAGGTTTGGAGCTAAACTCTGCAGGATACCTCCAGAGGCATGGTTAGATACACCTGGGGGATATTCCAGAAAGGTTCTGTGACATACCCAGGTAAGTTTATGGATAAGTTAACGGAAAACCTCAATTTTCGGTTCCAAAAGCGGATATAAATTTCAGGGTATGTAAGCAGCCATAGCAATTTATGCTCTAAACATAATCTTCTCCAGATTAGTTTATCTTGTGTGTTCACCATGAACATACACTGGGTTGACAACTTCCTCACAGTTGCGGTTTTGGCATACCTCGAGTAAGCAAGTTTTGGGTTAATCATCTGAAAGTTCAGGATGTGTGTGATGGTAAGTTAACCTTGCTTTCTGGAATACACCCCTGCCATAGAGTTATAATACCACCACTAGTCTTCTGCTAGCTCAGGTGTGTGCAGTCCTGCTCCTAGAGGGCCTCCTTCCTGCAGAGTTTGGCTTTAACCTTCTCGATCACACCTTCTTGAAGACCTTAAGGTGTGTTTAATTAGGGGTGGAGCTAAACTCCATAAATATTGGTCTTTAGAAGGCAGTCTGGAGATCTAAACCAGGGATGGGCAACTCCGGTCCTGGAGGGCTACTGTCCTACAGAATTTGGCTCCATCTCTAATCAAACACACCTGTAAAATCTAACCTTAGTCTTCAGGATTGGTTGAAATTACCAGCAGGTGGATAGAGCTAAACTCTGCAGGCCTTCCAGGGCCGAAGTTGCCCATCCCTGCTCTAGACCCTTCGGTCTATGTTTAAAGCATTAGCACTATTGGGACTGCTCCTCGGGACCCACTGTTCTGCTGGGTTTAGTTAAAATAGGCCTGAACCTGCTAACCAAAGTCTGCAAGATTACTTTGGTTTTAAGATTTAAGCTAGTAGTGTTGAAGCAGTATTGTATCTAAACTCTGCAAGCTAGTGGATCTCCCGAATACCCATAATCTATAGCATCTATAGCAAGTATGTTGAAGGCCCATAAGGTATTTACAATGAGAACATCACTAAGAGGGTAAAGGAGCTCCAGAGTCTTTGGGAGTGATTTAGGACAACTGTACAGATAAATGAGGCAATGTCTTTGGTTCATAACCCCACAACTTCTTCTCAACTAAAAGCTGATAGCTGGAATTGGATGGCTTTCAAAGCACAAAACAATATTGTACTAAAGTAATGAGTACTTACTCCCAGAACTCAGTGACGGGGGAAGTGAAGTTAGTGGCGTTCGCAGCCACCCAGAGTGTCTTGTTCTTGCGGAAGGTATCCTCCACACAATTTTCTGTGTTCCATTTGTTGTTGCAGCTTGCCCAGGGAAGCTCTGGCTGAAAGCACTGGAACAGGTAGTACAAGCCCCAGGCCAGAATCACAATGTAGTAGATGTTCAGCAGAGAAACAATCACTATGGACGCATAGCCTATACCTGTACAAAGAAATGAGAGGTGATATTAAGCCAATGGCACACTGGACTGACTCAGCACATGGTAGTTGTGCCAAGTGTTTGCGATTTGTTATTATAACCTTAATGAATGCAATGAAAGGAGTTGTGCTCCAGTGGAGCATGAGAATGGATAAATAAGTGACAAACTTCTATGGGACCATCTTGTGCTTGCTGTCTAAACATGGAATAAACTGTCCAGAGTGGGAGGAAAGTGATGTAAGACATTGGTTTAGAGATTGAACTGTGTAAATCAATGTTGGCCACGCTGAGTCATTTGCTGGCAGAGGGATATGAGTAATTTAGCAGTTGCATATAATGATTGCTCACTAGTAATCTCTGTTTAAATAAGTAATGTATCTGTGATCAGAAGACATTTTTGTAAGGTTTGATATGCTCTTTGTTATATAAGAGATATTTCTGTGGAAATCTATTGTTTTTTTTTTTCTAGCAAGTAGTCATTTAGTCTGGGTTTTGATTCCTTTTGTAAGGGTATTAAGGACTATTCAACATGTGGCAAAGACAAGTTTATCTGCTTTGGTCTACATTAATATCTCCATAGGAATTAGCAGATGCTGCCATGCTTATATGGGAGCCCATAATGAATAATGTATTGGACAATGGAAATGTATAAATTATATTTAGATATATTTAGATATTTAATGAAAATGTAGAAGGATTTTTGAAAACGTGCACTATTCATAACTGCCGGTAGATTGACTAGTATTAACCTATTTTTTTTTAAATGGTTCTTGTCATTATTTAGATATATTTAGATATTTAATGAAAATGTAGAAGGATTTTTGAAAACATGTGCACTATTCATAACTGCCGGTAGATTGACTAGTATTAACCTATTTTTTTTTAAATGGTTCTTGTCATATGCTCTGAGAGGTGAGGAAGATAGGGTTGACCCTTACTGCTATTTTTGTAAACATAAATTGTTTCTTCTCTGGCATTAAAAGGGATATGTATTTCCTATCAGACACCCGACATAAAACCTGTATGTCTCACACAGCCTATCTTCAGATACAGCTGGTGGTATCTGTGACACCTCCCACTCTGTCCTTACCAAGGGGTCAGAGTGGTTGGCATGACCCCATTTGCCCCTGTTGGTAGATATGGTAACTACACCAACTGGCAGCAAAAAGCATCATTCTCAACTGACGGCCATTTAAATATACTGACGAAAGATCAAGCTACTTGATCAAGAAACTGACCTGTAAAAATGGGGCAAAGTTTCTCCCAGCAGGTGATTCCTCCCTCAGAGGTGAACTGACCGAGCGCCACCTCCAGGAAGAATACAGGCAGTCCTCCACCAAACAGGAAAATGAAGTATGGGATGAGAAAAGCACCTAAATGGAGCCAAGAGAAGATTCACTTAATTCTGTCAATTATTAGATCCTATTAACTGCTGGATTAGTGTTTAACTCATTTCTCGTGGAGTTCATCCAGTACAGTGTAAGGCTTTGACACTTGCTCTCATTCTCTTTTTGTACCTCTGTTGTTGTGAAGAAAGTGAATGTTATGACAATACCTTATTATGCTGGTGACTGTTGCACATTTGGAAATGTAAGGGGAAATCTAAGGGTACTTTTTCAGGAGATACTGTAAATGGAATATCTTTAATGTGTATCTCATTTCCAAAGTTAGCACATGATTGCTGTTTAGCCTTGATTAGCCTTAAAGAGACAGTTTATATATTATATTAAAAAAATGTTGTTCCAAATGTTTTACATTATTCTGTGAAACAGAAACGATTTTTTTGTAATTCACAATCGTCTCTCTTCCATGTAACAAAAGTGGATAGTGATGCATGCTGTCAGACTTCAAAAAAAAAAAGCACCATGAAAGTATTCCTTAGGACTCTTTCAAGTTATAAGTTCTTCGCTCTCAAATCATATTTGCGTGCATTTAATTAAAAATGCATTGTGATCGGGATACAAGAAAACTCATGATGTATGACATGTCTTTGAAAAACGTTATGGTGCTTATTTATACATTTATGAAATGTGACAGTTTAATCATTCACTTGTGCTCTATGGAAAAAGAGCATCTTCTAAACATCTCTGTGTGTATCCTACAGAACAAGATTATCATTTGGGTTTGAAAAAACATGATGGTGAGTAAATGATAACAGAAGTTTTATTTTTGAGTTGATTTATCCAATTGATATCCTCTGGGGCATATTCAAGAAATGACATTGAGAAATTAAGTTTTTACGACTGCCACATCGGTGTCCAAAGTCCAAAAGTATCAACAAATATGCTCACCTCCACCATTCTTGTAGCAGAGGTACGGGAACCGCCAAACGTTGCCTAAACCAACAAAGCCCCCGGCGACTGACAGAAGAAAGTCAAGCTTGCTAGCCCACTTTTCCCTTTGGGGATGTTTTCCCTCGGATTCATCCTCCGGCCTTGTGCCCGGGCTCTTTCCTGGGGAGGGTTTCAGAATGTCCTTGTGGAAGTCCTTTAGACACTGAAGTTTCTCCTTCTGGGCCATGCTATAAAGAAAACAAAGGGTCAGAACTCTTGACTGAACCCCGACGGCCTTAGGTTCAGATGTCAAAAAGATTGCGTTTAGTTTATAAAACATTTATAATTAGTCCAAACATTAATAGTTAATTTAGAACAGCAGCTTTTCCATGCGTGAGAAATGTTCACATGAGAAGATATCGTGATGGTTAACGTGATTCAAATAACGGCACCTTTGTGTGGTTTCAACACAGGAAATCTTCATGTACGACACAACTGCTAGCAAGTATCATGACTTGGTACAATAATATATCTATGAAAAGTGATAAGATTCATAGCTTTTTTTGTTGCTTGTGAAGTGTGTCTGTAGTCAACACAAAATAATGCTAAGAGATAACCACATAGCCAATGAGTAAGAAAACACATCAGCATTTTATACCAAAAGTCAGCATAAAAGCAAAATGGACACTCTCTTAATTCATGGCCTGGTCTTATTTTAAATGATTGGTGGACTATAAACCTATTATTTACACAATATATTCAGTTGTTTTGTCGAAGTAAATTCATTTTTTATGTTATAAATTGTACTTGATATTACTGGAAAACATATAAGAAAATAATTTTTGCCCTTAAAATACCTGTTTCACTCAGAAATACATTATGGCCCAAAAGGAAACCCAAATGCAATCATGCACATAAATTAATCCGATATATTAAAATCTCCTCAATTCATTCACTGCAGTTTTGCTGCAGAACTGGTATGTGTTTATCTTGCCCAAGTCCCTAACTAACACAGTGTTTATGCTGTCAGGATTCTGTTCAAGGATGGAGTAATTATGTCAGGCTTGGCGTCTTCTGTTTCAAAGCCTGAGCCAAACTTGCCATGGAGCCCCTGAGATGAATCCCAGAGAGTAAGATACCAAAGTCAACTCCAACATCTCTACCCGTTCCAGACTCCCTTACAGCTTGGCAACGCTTGAACAAACTATAGCCCCACTGTGAGGCCGCTTTCTTCAACACAAGCCTGCTTTTTTCCCTGCTCTCAAGGAGACGGAAGAAGAGGGGGAAAAAATCTGCGGTGTGTTTGACAATCAATAAATACACGTATATTCTCCTTTCTGTAGCTTTACTAAACATACGACTTAATAAACATGCTAACTAGTGTGGCAGCATGCCAGGACTCCAGTCTGTAGCGGTTCTCTGGATACCAGTTCAGTGACGTTTGTACGTCTTAAGTTCATTTAAATTGATCTTCCGGAGGTTTCTTAAAAGTCTAATACATTGAAAGTACAATTTACAACACTAAATAGTTCCGATTTAACTGATGATTCTCTGTTATATTTTTGAATTTAGCACAGAATCATTCACTTGGAAACATAAGACTCGAAAAATTTCAGGAAATTACGTTCATCCGCTTTAGGTAGGTTAAATCTGTGTGTTTCAAAGGCTTAGGAGCTCGCTACAACTCAAACACATTCTGTTACATAACTAGAGTGAAATCCTCCAGACACTTTCCATTTCCATTCAAAACACTCTGGTGACAAACTTTACTGGCTGAGAGTCAAAAAGAAAGCAAACAACTGGGTTGAAAAAAATGCAACTGGTAGGTGCCTTGTTGAACGTATTCAAATTGCAATGCCATTTTTGTCCATAAGTTGGCAAAAATTTAAACGTCAATAAAATAAATTCAGTTTTAAAGACATTTCTGATCTAAGTTTCTAATATCCGGCATGACAAAGTCACCATCAAAGTCTCATCTTTAACTTTATTCCTCAAATTTGACCCCTTTCCCATTATCCACAAACAAAAACATTCCCTCAAATTAACGCACTGCCTTTCACTTACATTTCCTTCATGGCTGAATCCAATAGGTCTGTGTTGTTCTCTCAGCAGACACCATACCTCTGACCACACGGCCCCAATCTCTCCAGGGCTCAGTGTAAGCCGAGGTGACACCACGTCCCGCCCACAGACTAAGACAATTAAAAGCAATCAGTAGATTGGTCGCAGCTTCGGAGCAGCGGATAACCCAAGCGTCAGTCGGCTCGATGGTAAATTTCCACTTCCCAGAAACTATTTATATTGGTGGCGTCCACTTGTGGCAACCCGAGCTGCAGACGCGACAAACAAGAGCATGTGGATGGAAATCCACACCTCTGTTGCGTTTCACTTGAACAGCTGATGGTTTCCAGGCTGTCGTCATGCCTCCTGCCATGAATAGCTTTTCATTTCAAGACAAGTAGCTTAGCTTAACATACTTTGACATATAGTCTAAGAACAATTATATACTTTTTGTTAAGTGGTTTGAAGACCGAGCAAAATATTTGACTGACTGACAAGTCTGACTTAGATTCCGGTCAGTAGCGAAGCAAAGACAAGGCCCAGCGCATTTAAATGTGGTGAGTAACAAAAGGCTATTGTACGACTTGTTTCCCTCAGCCTTTTTGCAATTGGCAGCACAGCCATGATAAAGGGACAATGGCGATTTGTGCTCATAGGACCATTTCTATGAATTTTGGATCGGGCAATTTGTTAAAAAATACAGAACAAAGGATCTGCTGGCATTTTCTTTTGCTCTTTTAGCGCACAGTGTTGGAATGCTGTGAAAACTCAGACACATGGCAGCCTACTTTGGGACACTGACTAGGTCTGTTTGATTCCCGAGCAGAAACAATAGACTTGAATCGCACCGAGCTGGTCAAAACTCTCAAGTTTTCTTCAATGGAAGATGGAGCAGCTTCACTCGGAAATCCACAATCAGTTGCCTCCTAATTGGAAGTGATTTGTTCTTCCGCATCTATAGGTCACATAGCCTGTGGTCGCAAGGGATTTGTTGGGCCATCAACTTTGTCATCTCAGCCGAGCGGCAGGAATGGCAGGATTGCTCCACACTCTCGACTATTGAGGGAGACTTCAGGTCTGGAGTCGGTGTGAGGCACTTGGCTCATTACATAACTATCCCTTTTTTAGAACCACGTACATTTCCTGAGTGCTCTCACATTAAATTCCTTCCTTTCCGCACTCGTTCCACCACATAAACGGAGTCCGGAGCGTTAGAAGCACACTCTTAGCCATTTATGTAAACCTCACAATGTAGCAATGATGCATGAAACTGAAGTCATGAGCATTAATGTCAAGTGTTGACAGCAGAGTTTGATCCACTTGTACATGATCTATGGCGTGATGCATTGTGCTCTCACACACTGCCTAGCCTTAGTGAACCAAACTGAATCACTGGAAGTTAAGACACTTGCATTTGAATCATGTTGCAGAGCTATAGTCATGGTGGGACGATTGACGAGGTGGTCCCACTGTGGTCCTCAAAAAGTTTGCCAAGGCCTCCTTGCAATTATCCTTACTAAAATATAATGGCCGCTATATTTTTTGATATATAACAATTTTTATATCATTAGAGATATACACCTTCAACAACATTGTATTACTATTAATATTGTAATATTAATGCTGTAAATAGAATAAATGTGATCTCCTTTGGTAAATATTTAAAAATGTTGCAATAAATGTATATCTTACTGTAAGCTGACAAGTTAACTTTGACGGCCCTACAAATATATTTTGTTAAATCTTTTTTTTTGTTTTTTTTTCCTATCAATTTTTTTATATATCTCCAGGCACTCACTTGTGGTCCCATGAGGGTCCTTTGACCCATTTTGAAAACCCTTGCATTTCGGTGCATGTTGCAAAGAACAAATCCAAACCAGTGGATTCAGGGTCAGTATGCTGATTATGAAATATAAATGAGAGAGGATCGAAGTAATGGTGTCAACTCTTGGAGAATAATTTAGAGTTAAGCACCTAAGATAGTGTAAAGGTTTTACACTGTTGGCTCTTCATTGTTAGCACTCCATGCATTGAAGATATTACATTGTTACATATTGATGTTGTTACAACACAAATAATAATTATTATTATTATCATAATCATTAATGTGGTCATTATGACTTTTGATTGCTACTTTATTCAAAACACAAAACCCATATTTTGTTTCCGCTAGAGGTTTATGCCATGAATCAAGTCAACTGGTCTGACTTGATATTTACGACTCCACAAATGTCTTCCTTGTTTAAGTGCAATATTTGTTGCCTGACCAAAACAAGAAGTGGAAAGGTGAAGACACTGTAAGTCACTGAAAAAAAAAATCCCAATGCATGCAAGATGCATTTTTATAGATGGCACTGGGGGACTGTTGCATACCAATACAAAAAACTAAAGTGGTCAAAATGATATTTAAAAGTGAACCGGGTCAGTGAACTGCATTCAGAAAGTGTGCTGTTCTGCTATCTGTCCTCTTTTTCATATTGTTGACATTTTAGGAAACGATACTGAATACAAATTTTGCATTATTCTGTCTGCTCAATGTGAAATTTGCCTCGAATTTTATATTAAAGAGAAACGACTAGATCAAAGAAGAAGAAAAACATGCTGGAAGAGTCCAAACTCTAAAGTGGTAAACTCAATTTTGGCCAGAGCTGTTTGTTGGCAGTCATGACACAGTATCGCCTTTGTTAACACGTCTTACTTTTTTATTGACATCAATTAAAAAGTAGCTCATATTTGCAGTTCTCTTTTATGACACTATATATAGGCAACACGCTGAATAACTGTTTCGCTGTTTTCGTCCTCACTAAAAAAAATGGCATCTGTCCCAAATGCATTGTGGCTGTGTCCCTGATCAGTGTGCTAGGTATGCTAAGCTGGCATGTGCACAGAAACCTAAACTCTGTATCCCTGTGTATTGTGTTTGTTTGAGCAGGGACTGCTAGATGAGGTGAACCTGCGAGAGACGACTTCAAGGTTGCACTGTCAGTTCATTTGTATGAGCCGAGGATGCTGGTCCAAACGAAAAGCTGTATTCTGTTTGGCCGGTTCGTGGCATCTCGTTGCTTAGCATCGCGTATTTAATACGGAAAGAATCTTGTTGGGAGCAGGTGTCTCGAGACGGGGTTTTTAAACTGGGAATGGCTTTTTTAGAAACGAGGAACTTCTAGCAAGACGCTGACAACTGTATCTAGCGCGTGTTTACATGGGAAAAAAACTCATCAGAGACGGACGCATGAACGCGTTCTATATAAACGACGCCTTAGAAGCGTTTTAAACGCCATTCACGCTGCTTTCAGTTACATTTCGTTTAGCTGTTGAACGCAAGAACGCGTCCTCGTGTGAGCCGTCGCCAAAAACGCGTCCAAGACCAACAACACCAAACCTACATCTGATTACTTTGAGGAGGCGCGTCCGTATCACTAACTTTCGCAGGATGTTACCTTTTTCCTTCAGAATGCATCTAACAGGTTGTTGACGCTGCATCTACAATCGCATCTTTGTGTGCAAAAATAAATAAATTCATTAATTATTAATAATAATCCGTTTGTGCTTTAGTTTGTCCGCTTGACACTGCTGAGGTGAATGTCTCGGGGTTTTTTAAAACCCTCAATGATGCAGGTTTTCATCGACGGACATCAAGCTGTCTATCTTAACTCTGTGCAGTCAGCACTCAAGTTATATTTGTCTAGAGTGGGACTGTAAGCAACTCAATGACAAGTGACAGCATCAACACAAACAGCGGACCGCCAGTTTAAAAGGCTATGGAATCATCATAAATCATAAAAACTAATTAAACGATTATATAATATGGCTATATTACTATATAGTCATGTTATAGGCTAATATATAAAATAAGCTTTACAATAATAACATTAAACAAAATCTTCTAAATAAACTGTCAAAGTACTTCCTGGATCCCTTAAACTATTTTCGGCATGCATGACAACTAAGTCAAGCTATTGAATTTTAAGTAAAGATGGGGAGGAAAGACTTAAAAAGATTCGGAAAACACTGAAATTAAGTAAAAAATAAAATAAAACATAAGTGGTATAGCATAAGTGCATGATACTAAATCCAAAGAGCAAACATGCGAAATAACGTTACCTTTATTGTTTATTTCCTTTAATTCCTTTGAAACGCTCTTGTCCCTTCTGTATTGTGCGGCGGCTCGGTGCTGAATAACAGCGGCAGCGGTAAATTTAGTTTATGAGCTTTTTTTCCTGACCTTTGTCTCTCAACATGGGTGACCATTAGACATCAGTTGTGGAAAAACACCGGCCTGCCTCCCGTCCGCGACAGCAGCGCGTCTTCTTAAAGCGCCCGCTTCCTGGGTTCAGAAAAGCGCGCCTCCAACGCGCATCACTGCTGCAGCTCCTCGTCTCGCTCCTCAACTGCGCCGCCACTGGCCAATGTTTGTCAGCACTGCTGGGTCAATACTTCTGCTTCGGAACAATAGTCTTAGTCTGAATAGAAAAGAACCAAACAACAGTTCGATGAAATGTGATTCATGCCTACAGAGCGATTCCTGTAGCTCATCTGGTAGATCACTTCAGTAGCAACTTTTGCAGTGCGAGTTCTGCCAAATACATGAGTGACGTTGATAGGTAATAGGAACCATCACAGCACCTCAGGCCCTTTGAGCTGGACAGCCTTTACCTGAACCTCAGACGAGAACATCTCTACGTTAATATCAGCTGTCTGAATAAGTGGCCTATTGGTACACTCTAAAAAATGCTGGGTTAAATACAACCCAGTGCTGGGTAAAATAGGGACAAACCCAGCAATTGGTTTGTTTTGACCCAGCGGTTGGGTTAAATGTTTAACCCAACCTTCTGGGTAGTAACCCAACCACTGGGTCAAAACAACCCAATTGCTGGGTTTGTCCCTATTTTCCCCAGCACTGGGTTGTATTTAACCCAGCATTTTTTAGAGTGTAACTGTACCTCCAGAGAGTTTTTGGGTGAAGGAACTGTTCACCCTAAAATGAAAATCTGCTGAAAATGTACTCACCCTCAGGTCATCCAAGATGTAGATGAGTTTATTCCGTCATTGGGGGAGATTTGGAGAAATGTAGCATTACATCACTTGCTCTGCAGTGAATGGGTGCCGTCAGAATGAGAGTCCAAACAGCTGATAAAAACATCACGATAATCCACAAGTAATCCACACAACTCCAGTTAATCAGTGAACATTTTATGAAGTAAGAATGTGCATTTTTGTAAGAAACACAAACATCACTAAGATATTTTTAACTTTAAAAAGGCTTCAGACTAAAAAAAAATTAAAAATCTCGCCTGAATCAGGAGAGAAATATGTACAGATCAAGCACCGTTTACAAGCAAAATCAATTCTAAACAAATGTGTTGGTGGATTTTTTTGATGTAAGACAATAACGGGATAGACTTTTTCCACTGAAGGAAACATTATTATAGATTATGGACTGGAGTGGTGTAGATTATTTGTGGATTATTGTGATGTTTTTATCAGATTTGGATGTTTTTATCAGATGTTTGGACTCTCATTCTGACGGCACCCATTCACTCCAAATGATCCATTGGTGAGCAAGTGATAGGCTATAATGTGAAATTTCTCTGATATTTCTCCGAAATTTCTCTGATAAATATCATTCCAAAGCAGTTTTACAGTGAAGTTCAAAAACCCAAAGAAAAGAAAAGAAAAGAAAAGAAAATCTTGAACTAACCAGTTTCTCATACTATGGCATGCTGGATCACCACTTGTTGTGCAAAGCAAAATCTGGACCCTGAAGAAAAGCCATCTGAGAACCATTAATTTCTCATTATCTGAGATGATTGAGGATTGAATTGAAATACAGTTTTACAGTCTATAAAACTTGTAAATCTAAAATTTCACGTGATAAATCGCAATTTAGCTGAAATGTACAGCTATGCCAAGTGGTTTTAATATTGTTTGTGTACATCTGCTTTTCAGCGGGAAAAACACACTTAATACAACCCCAAATTGACAGTAAACAACTCAATGGTTGACTTGGTGTTCTGCCTCTGCATGTGCAGCGAGTCCTGCTGCGGTTGTTGTGATTATGGCCCGTTTTCTGGCCCATGTTTACCTCAGCTTGACTGAATTAAGATGCTACCCACCCCGATACGAAGCATTACATTTTCTGTGTATCAAAACAGCGTCTAGCCTCTGACTAAAGTTTCTGTAATTTTCCACCACTCCTCGCTTGCACTTCACTTCTCTTATTTGATCACTTCTTTCCTTTCACAACAGTGTCACAACAGCAGTCTTGCGCAGCCCATTGCCTCAGGTCATCAAAATCATGCATCAGCTGTCAGTCACCTCTAGTGCATCTGCTTGCAATGCAAACATGCTGTCTGAATGTTTTTGCATGATTTTAGTGCACTGCAGTCGATCAAGTCAGAATCCCTTTAAGTCAGTTCACTCCGATGTTTTGAGGCCGTCAGGTAAAAGGAAATAAAAATCATAATCTACAAAACCAGACATTACAAAACAAATTCTGACAGCAATTGTATCACAAATGTTGCTTTTTTTGCTAAAATCATGCATTAAAAAAAAAAAAAAAAGTATATATGGTGGTGAGTTTGTCAACTATGTTACGGGTAAACTTTATGGGATGACAGGTAACATAGTTGACAAATTAACCATTATAACTCATAATTTCAAATTATCCGTAACAATGTACCCAAATATAGTTGACAGGCAATTAATATACTCACTGACAAATGGGAAATATATATATATATATATATATATATATATATATATATATATATCCGCCACAGAAGAAAATTACATCACATGATGCTGGTCACATGGTTTCATGATAACCCATTTTTTTAGTTTTCAGAGGGATGTTTGGTTAATAACATTGTTGACAGAATTTTGTGGCCATAAGTCAATATGATAAAATGAAACATTTTCTTATTTGAAAGAAAATTTAATTAAACTCGATCTCAAGTTTTCTAAGATTGTAGAAATAAACTGAATATAGAACATTTTTTATTCATTATATTGAACCCAAGACTCAATTCGAAAAGCAGACATTGTAAACACTGAAATTTAAGGAACATAAAGGCTATTTCAAGTAAAATGAAAAACAGGGTGCTCAAAATATATATGTGCAATTATAGTATGTCTCTTAATGGGTAAATTATGGTATTTCTGGAGAAAATGATCATCAATGGACATGAAACGTACCCTAAATTATAGAATGACCCATATACTGTATACTTCATAACTTCTATAATTGATATATAATGTTAATATACCACCCTACCTGACCTACTAAAATTGGCTTTGCACCAGAAAATGTATCAATAAAATGTAACCATTAAATCTAATATAATTTCTCAGAATGGCATGGCAGATTACATCTAATTGGCATACTTAGCAACCTGTAGCAGTTTTACATTCTTTTCTCATTCAATTCCAAACTTTTACAGTGAAAATCGAACAGACTTCTTGTGCCGTAAGACTTGAATGAAGTGAAACGTCCTGCAGCAGTCATGTGGAAAGAGGATCTCCACAGAGCGACGGCGTCTGAAACATGTGAACGCTTGTCTGTTTGGCTAAACTGCTCAGTAGTTTTCCACTGTCTGCAGAGGAAGTTGAAAAGAGGAAGTCAAACGCTTGTCATCGAACATGTTTACATGATAGTCCTTTAGCAGTTTCGCTTTTTTTTTTTTTTTTAATCAAAGTGGGCTTTCACACGTTCACACTCCGAACATAACCTTTTAGCGTTTTGACGGCTTTTCAGCAGAACGTGAAACAATTCCTCACGTTCGCAGCCAAAGAAAAGACAAACAATGACAACAAAGAAAACATTTCCTTTTCCAAAAAAAAAGTTAATTTCCTCTCTGACTGCGTTGTAGAAAGATGAAAGTGTTATATGATAGCAGTAAGTGAAAAACAGTCACGCCCACGGTTTCCTTACAAGTTGCTGCAACAGCAAAACCATCAGTGTTTTCAAGGCCTGATAATAACTCGATACTGAGAAAAATGCAGGTATGTCTCACACAGGATGCTGCATCATTTAGAAGCAAAATCTGACCACAATATCACTGATGATGGTTTCCCCATCTTCAGAAACTACAAATGAAAAATTTGGTCTTGTTTAGAGCTATGAACAGCGTTAACACTAACCACAACACAGCTGAACCGTCATTTGACAAGATTCATGTGTCTCACGTCTAAAGTTTTTGTCCTTACATGGTAACATCTCATTTGGCCATCTTTCATAAAACCATTCTTATGTATTTGCCACAAAGATGCATGTGATAGTACAAAATTTGGTTTCAAAGACATTTCAGTGTGATAGTTTATGTAAGAATGATTTGAAGAACAATTTAAGATTGAACAATGCAACAATTTACATTTCATTTGGCTAAAATTTTATATAATTTATAATTTATTTAAGATCTTTTATTTACAAAAATTAAGTGCAACTGTTCATACAAAAAATTCAATGCAGCTATTTACACAAGCATTATAAAAAAAATTAATTTTGCATTACAATGGTTTTATGAATGGTTCAATACGACAACTTTAGAAAGAATGGTTTTACAATCAATTCAATGCAACAATTCACAATGATTTTAGGAATGATCCTATAATCAATAATTCACATAAGATTGATTTGATGAGAAATGTGATGCAAGTCCTTACACAATAAATGATTTTTACAAAAATAAAAAATAATGCACAATTTTAGTTACAATGGTTTTGTGAATGATTCAGTACAACAATTATGAAAGAATGGTTTTATAATCGATTCGATGCAGTAATGTATGTAATAATGATTTAACGAACAATTTTATAATCAATAATTTACATAAGATTGATTTCAAGAAAGTCAATGCAGCTATTTACACAAAAAATAGTTTTGTGGAAGAATGGTTTTATGAAGGAATCAATGCAAAAATTTATGCAAGAATGATTTTTATTAAAACAATTATTTTGCTTTACAATGGTTTTATGAATGATTAATACTAACAACTTACTTAAGAATGGTTTTTATGAAGGATTCAATGCAATACTTTACATAAGCATGATTTTTGCCAAAAAATGCAATTACATGTAATTACAATGGTTTTATGAATGATTCAGTACTTAAAGAATGTTTTTTAAGAACAATTCCATAATTAATAAGTTACATAATACTGATTTTATGAAAAATGCAATGCAACTATTTACACAAAATGGTTTTAAGAGGGATTCAATGCAATTCATGCAAGCATTTTTTTCCAAAAAAATGAAAATAATAAAATAAATAAATAAACAATAATAATTTTGCATTACAATGGTTTCATGAAAATTTCAGAAATTCAGTGCAACTATTTACGCAAAAATGGTTTTATGAAGAAT